TCAGAATTGCTGATCATGTTTCGATCATATTCTTTTTATTTTTAGCATGTCCTCTCATGATAGTATTGGCACATTTAGGGCCAAGTGCTGAGACCTCACATGCAGCCTAACCCCTCTGGTATTAGTCTGTTACTAGGCCATGCACTCTGCTTATTGTTACTTCAGTTTAGCATTATGATAGCTAGGTTTCTGTGCGCTCTAGTCCTATTTTCTGTTACATGCTTACTGGACTGGAATGCAGTCCATGTATTTGCAATTTTCGCAATTTTACATGCCTGAACATGGAGAGGGCATGTCACCAGACTTTCCGAAAGTGATGGCTATGATGCCATCATCGTCATAGTCAATCGCTTCTCAAAAGCGATCATTCCAATCGCCTGTTCAACAGAATTGACATCTGAAGGATGGGCAAAAATACTATGAGATGAGGTCTATGCCAAGTATGGCATGCCTCAGGTAGTAATTTCAGACAGAGGACTGCAATTTGTCTTCAAATTCTTGGATGACTTATACCGACTCCTCAATATCAAAAGGAATGCTTCTACAGCATATCACCCGCAGATGGATGGCCAAACAGAATGGGCCAACCAAGAAATTGAAAAGTACCTACGACTTTTCATCAGTTTTAGACAAGACGATTGGACAGAATGGCTCACATTGACAGCATTTCAACACAACAACAGAATTCACTCAGCGACAGGCAAAACACCTTTCTTTGTGAATTATAGATGGAACCCACCAGTTGCGCAAACTGGACGAGTTCATACAAAAACGCCAGCCTCAACGGACTTTGCATCAACAATGGCAAAAATCCATGAGGAGACCAAGGCTGCACTCAACAAAGCTGCTTTAACAATGAAAAAGCAGTATGACAAACACAAACGAATAGCATATGAATATTCAACCAATGACAAAGTATGATTGGATACAACAAATCTGCATTTACTGAGACCAAAACAAAAACTGGCAGACAAATGGACAGGCCCCTTCAAAATAATCAAGAAGATCGGCAACTCTACATACAAGTTACAACTGCCAGCGACTTGGAAAATTCATGATGTTTTCAATGAAATATTGTTAAACCCATATATCGCACCAGCCTTTCCAAACCAAAAACAGCCACCTCCTCCACCAGCTGAACTCATCGATGACGAAGAACACTACGAAATTGACAAGATGCTAAATCACAAAACACGCTGAGTTAAAGCACATGGTGGAGGCATGAAAACAACCATTGACTACCTAGTCAGCTGGAAGGGTTACAGTCTGGAATCAAATCAATGGGTCAACAAAAAATACATAAACACGGAGGATGCCATCCAAGATTATGAACACAGGATCAACAAAGTCGATGCGAAGGGGGTCATATTCAATATTATATGTCCTGAACATATCACAGTGACGAAGGGAAGGACAATGATATCCAGTCAGATATACATCAACCAACCTTCCAACAGCAGAGGACATGTAATGGAGGACGATGAAGATGACTCTGTCCAATCCTTCAACCGACCTCGCGATACCCAGAATGGAAGACAGCAGGATGATGAAGATGGTGGTCAAAAACAACCATATCACACACCGTTGATGGGTCCAGCAGATCAGCCACCTCCTGCTGGCCCCAACAACTTACCCTAACTTAACCATTGGGACGATGGTCTTAAGGAGAGGGTAATGTTATGATTTTTCCTATTTTCTTCTTATTTTTCTTTCTTTTCCTTCAGAAATAACCTCTATCTTTGCTTAGTCAGGGCACTTAGGCCAGCGCTTATGACCATGGGAATGCTTAGCTCAGCAGCCCAGTCGGTCATTCTCCTATTGCACTGCTGTGTGCTGTGAAGAGAGAGACAATGCTCCTTTTGTCCCCAAATTGCAGTGCATGACCACAGCCCTGCAGCATGACAACAGCTTTTGTGGAGAGCCTGGCAATGGTAGGGGAAACAGCTCTACAGCAGACAATATCTTTTGTGAACAGTTATTTATAATGCGATAACAAAACAGTATTTAAGTAGTTTAGTTCTTGCTGTAACACCCCAGTCTCGAACTAAAGTTTTACTTCACCATCTCATCTCGAGCAAACTGCAAACACCTTGACAACACAACACTAGTCACACACAAGTGAACTCTGACAGTATAACCCAAAGTGCGAGGTTCTGTCAGTTTATCATGTGTCTCTAGTCACATGGAATTTGGGCTTAACATAATTCCACAGGCAAGATTATATCTCTATGATTATACATTGAAAATAGAATACCACAAATAGTATTAAATTGTAATGGTGAGACCTTGAACTACATTTACACCAGGTCCTCTGCCAAATCTTTCACATGTAACTATGACTGGTTTCCATTGAAGGGCCATGAATACCAAAGACCAAACTACTTATGTGTCAGCTTGTCAGCATTTATGTCATACTCTGCTTTCTGCAAAGCCAGCAGTGATACACTAGGCACACATTCAGCCCTATAATTTGTGAATTCTATATAACACACTAGAATATGCTAGCAACTGAGGACTCTCAGCCAGTTGAAGACTATGGCTAAGGCTCCAAACTGATAGTTATGCTAGTCATCAATAAGTCCAACAGTGACTTTGTGAAATGAAATGGCATAAGGATAAAAATCCTAAAGTCAAGTTTGAACTTAGAAAAGTTCTGCACCACACTTTGGAAAATACTAAGTCCAACTTGGACTTAGAAATGATACCTCAAATGAGGCCAATTCTATATGCCACTGAGACAGATATATTCTAAGGCAGCTAGAGGTTATAAACCCATGGCTAGTTGTGGAGTATTGAGTTAAGACAGTACCCATCCAGGAGCAGTAGGAAATAGAATCCAATGATCTATGGCTAGCACTCTAAGTTTTGGCTCAAAATGCCTAAGTCAGAATTCTTAGGCATCAGATGATCTAAGAGACTTAGAAATGAGAGGAATAGAGTGGA